GGAAGGGCATAACACTAATTTAACAAGGTGATTGATATTTTCTAAGTGAGCAAATGTTTCTGAGTTAAGAATATGAGACAATTATAGATGTAAAGATATCTACAGTAATATTTTACAAGGAAGGGCAACATGGTGCCTCTCCTTAAAAACCAAAGTAAAAAACCCTCAAGGTTACCATGCAAAACACACCACACAGAATTCCCTTTCTCCTTTTCCTTGTCTTCCATGACCTTCTTGTGGACTACCTCAGCCCTTGATCAGGTTTCATATGAAGTTAAAACTGGTGAAACACATGGAGGTTAGGCAGTTTTTAAAAATACTTTTTTGGTTACTTGGTTTAGAAACATCCTGTTTTTAAGGCTGAACCAGAGCTAGAAAGGAAAAGTAGTAGTTGAGGCTTGTAGATCTCAATCGTAGATGAGCCATTTTAAAAGGGTTGAATTCAGGAGGGGACTTTTGCTAGTGTGATTCAAAAGTACTCTAGGATTCAGGATTGAATAAAAGGGAAGGCCTTTTGAGAACTTTTGAAGAAAAAGACTTGAAATAAGGTAGAAACAGTTACCTAAATTCAGGAGAGTTTTCTGAGACAAATTTTGTTCCGTTGAACACTTTGGCCAACATGTTCAACACATTGAGAACCAAGTAAAGGTCCCCGGAATGGATTTAGACTTACTTTGGAGAATAATTTCGCAGGTACCTCATTAGAGAAGAGCTGGAGGGGCTGAAACACGGGGGCATGTTTGGAAGAGCAAAGCTTTAGGTAGTGATGGTGATATGTTTGTGTGTCACAGACATCTTTTCTGCTTTGCTCCTGAGGTGAAGCAGACTTAGAAAGGAAATGGCAGGGTGGACAGCATGGCATGAAGTTTTGGTAAAAGAAGCCCTGACATTGCCGGTGAGGACCATGAAAATAGAACCACTGAGATTAACACTGGAACAGAAATGAGATGGGAGAGAAACATAAATACCAGCGAGACAGTTTTGAACATGCAACCCAATGTTCCACCCTGACACAAAATAACAGACGAGCCCCAAACCAAACTTCTACAACCTAAAAGTGATAGATAGATACAGTGTTTGGAAATGTGCAACAGACATCGTTAGTGCTGGAGAAAGTTTGCCCCTCAAAGAACAGCCGTGTGGCTGATCTGGAAATGAAGGGAGACTGCATTTAAACGTCAGGCTGTCCCTATTCATAGAGCTCAACTAGAGGACAGAAGAAATGGATAAAACCATGCTCTTGATGTGGTAGGGCAAAAACCATGCTTACCCCCTTACGTTATCGTCATTATGTTATAATGAACCATTCATTTCTGTGTGTGGTAAATAACAATGCTGACATGGTCACAAAATAATGCGAAGCACATGGGTCACAACTGTTTTTAACTAAAAACTTCTCTAAAGATTTATTTAGGTTCCTTAATTACAGAGTGGTTTGGAAGACTGGTATGTGGTTTCAGTTTATAGTTATAAATGTGGGCCTCGGTGATGGGTACGTGCTAATGTTGCCAGAGAAGAAGAGGAACAAAATTGGGACAAGGGCTTGTATTCGTTGGAACCTTACTTTTGCCACTTTTTTTTTTTTAAAGTGAAGTCAAGATCTGTGCTTATAAGAAAATAAGTATGATGACATTTATGCTGTACTTGAGATGGGTGTGTCAGTAGTACAAGCCAGTTTTCTGAGTGTTCACGTACTTTAATTGGTAAATATTCATGTCAGTTTGAAATCAGAGGCTCTCTAGAGTCCTGAAAGAATAAATATCCCTTTTGGCCTTTAACTTATTTATATTAAGATTATACTCTCCGTGGGATGAATCAGGCCCTGTCTTTGGGGACAGCAGTTTAGAAATATCTGGACAGACAAGGAAAAGGTAAGTGTTCAACTTAGGTGCTTTGATGTGAAATAAACCGATGACAGGGTCATTTGGTGATATCTGAAGCCTCATGTGTATGTATGCATATGTGTGTTTATGTGTCATATATTTGAAGTAATTTTGCATTATTTTGGATCTAGTAGTAGTGGGAATATAAAGCTAAAATGCAGTACTGGGGGCACAAGACAAAGGCTTATATAAACAATCCATAGAGAGTTCAGGGAATCAAAACTTCCTTTGTATTTGCTGTAATATATTCTCCTGTGTTTCTTGCCAATGATGATAATAAAAGTGGCATCTCTGAACTACTGTCTGGAGGTTGGAGGAGCTGGAGAGGAGGAAGGCTTGCAAGAAATCTCAGCAATGCTTTTCTTCCCTGCATGAAAGTGATAGAAGAAATGAATATCCTAATGTTTACCATTCCACATGGAGCTCACTCCAGTAGTGACTTTGCCACTGCTTGGAGAGAATCCACTCATTCATTCATTCATAACTTGGTATTGATTATATTTTCTGCTTATAGCTCTGTGGATGGCACAAAGATTAATTACATAGAAAGGCTCTGCCCTAGAGGAGCTTATACTCAGGTAGGGGATACGAAGATGTGTACATAACTAATTATAACACAGAATGATTTTCTGACATTTATTCAGGGCTTCAATAACTTTCCAAGTGCTTTTATACACTTTTATTTAATCTTCTGAAGTATGTGGCTATTATTTTTTTTTGGCTGCTGGCTGGTAGGAAGATTGAAACCCTTGACCTTGGTATGTGGCTATTTTGTAGATGAAGAAACCAAAGTTCAGCCAGGTGAATGACTTGCTGGAGGGCATGTAGGTGCTGAGATCTCTGGGGCCTAAGGAATCCAGTCCAGGATGTTTTCTTCCTGTGTATTCACTGTGTTTTCCACCGTCCCTGTTGTGCAGTAGTACAGAGAGGGGGGCACTTGCTTTCTGCTGGTAGAGAGGGCCAAGGCCACTGAGCAGCCCTGGAGCTTGGTTATACAGAGAATGGTGGAAAGGGCTTTGAGGTACAGAAAGAGATCAGTGTGTGCTACTGTTCTGATGAACAAGCTGGAAAAACCTGTTACTTAAAAAAGACCCTGGTGCCAGATATTTTCATTATTTTTTCTATCTGTGTTCTCCTTTTTCTTGTGTAAATGCATTCATTCAACTAATGCATTTAGAATATACTTATTACATGTGAGGGGAAAGATTCATTGATATCAGCTTTACAAAATAAGATTGGAGGTGGCTTTCCTTGAGGATGTCTGTAGTCCAGCCAGAAGATAAGATAATGAGAGGGGGAACAATGATCATTGTACTTCTGGGTTCAAGTTATGACTTTCCTGAGAAAGGAATCATGGGCTTCTTACGTCACCTCTCAGGAACATTTTTCTCTAAGGAGTCTAACATTCACTTTGGAGAGCTATATTGAGGAATAAATCTCATTATGAATATGAGGACACCTCATTCAGTAAATTGTCAATATTAGTGGCTTTTCATGCCTTCTGAAGAAAAGCTGAAGTCCTTGACTGGTATGCAAAGCCCTCTGTGGTCTGGTTGGCCAAATTTAAGCTCTTCCTGTATCCCAGTCCTTCACCAGTCTCCTGCCTTCAGGCTGGTCTCTCTTATGTGCACCTTCGTTACCCTGTGATCTATCCAGTACGTAGGGGTGCAGCATCCCAGTTGTCAAGAGAAGGGGTCAGTACTGGTTCCACTGTGTCACACTGACTGTGTGACCTGAGCAAGTTATGTCCTTGCTTTGTGCCAGTCTTGTGAGCTTTCAGATGATTTAGCATAAAGGGCCCAGTACATGGTAAATGTCATTATTATTAGTTCTAAGTACTCTGACCTTGCCACTCCCCTGTTTACAGTCCTGCAGCTCTAGAATTTAGAGTTCTCTAGTTTAGAGTCCTATCAGCTCTATTGTTCTTAATTTGGAATCTACCCATCTCTCTCTAGCTCATCTCTCATCCTCTCTTTCCCATGCTGTTCCTTGCAGAGACACGGAGCTGCTCATAACCCCTCACCTCTACCTCTGTGAGGTTTTGACCTTTGTTTTTGTCTAAAAGCCATTTGTCTTACTAATTCATTCTTCAGAACTGGTTTTTCCACCTCTTGAAGATTCTCTTATTCCAGTCTCCAACCCCTGTCTAGGTCTTATCTTGGTCAGCAGTGTTTTGCATATATCTTTATCGTTGGGCTTAATGTGTTGGGTTGCCATTTTCTATGTGTACTTTTCTTCCCTGCTTTTGACTGAGAACTCATGAAAGATGTGGCCTTGATTAATTATCTCTACATTCCCAACTTGTTCTTCACATATAGTAGACTTTCAATAAGTACTTGTCAATAAGTGAGTTAGAAGAGGAACCTTACCTATTATAAATACGTTATATTGTCGGAATTATTTTTCACTTAGCTAGAAGGGGCAAAATTTACCTCATTAGTAAATTTCGAGGAGGGGAAGGTCAACAGGAGGACTGGCCTGGCCCTACCAATAGGGGACCCTGTGTCATTATAAGGCAGGGTGAGATGTTGGGGGCCTGGGACTGGACAAGTACCATGGCAAACCCAATAGCACCATTTTGCCTCTGGTGGGTCTTCAGTCATTTGCTTATAAAGGCAGTAGTTCTGTATTTAGCTTAGTGATGGTAGCATCAGCTGTTTGGTATTGGATAGCATTTTTCTAATATGTGAAAAGATTTTTTTCTTCATTGCTTTGAAACTCCTGTGTATTGATAGGAGGAATTTCTTCATTATATTGAAACTCCAGTATACTGTTCTGAAAAATCTCAGCAGTGCCCAGTTGTGGACACGTGATATGACATTTTCTATTTGGTTCTCCGAATCACCTGGATTTTAATAGAAAGAGCCATAAGTATAGCATGTGGGTTAAATAAAGCATGTCTTTAGTGTACAGTAAGTCAGTGGCATTTTGGTTCATAGAGAATGCATGGGAAAAGGTAACATGGGCCACAAGGATGGATTTATTTATTTTAAGAATTTGAAGGAAATAAAATGTGATGCCTCAGTTTGCTTTCTAAAGCATCAGAGTAACCTTTAAAGAACCTGTGGTTACATCTGAGCTGAATTCTAAGGAAATTTTTTCTATTATGCCCTGCAGCTTTGCCCTGTCAGATGAAGCATACAGATCTCTACGAGATCAAGATAAAGACCAATGTATTCTCATTACTGGGGAGAGTGGAGCAGGAAAAACAGGTAAGGCTGCCACCAAACTACCTTACTTTCTCCTCTGTAGAATGTAAATTCCGCAAAGAATGATGATAGCAAAGAGGGCATTTGGGGCCACTTTGGGGGCTCCTTTACAGGAGGCGACTGATTAGGATCATGGAATGTTCTCTGGGAAGGACATGTCTCATCTGTTACTGAAGAAACAAGGTGCCTATCAAGGGAGTCTGACCCATTATGGGAGTTTAGTGCTAGATTCTAGACCTTTCTAGGGCAGTCTCTGGGTGCTTCAAGGTCATTTACCTTTCTTCCAAGACATCAAAGCCTGTGTGCCCCTGCAGAGTCAAACCATTTCCGTGAAGAATACCAATTTACTCAGACTTTCAGAGGCTGCAGCCAAACCCATTGTCTGCTAAAAAGTGCGGGAAAGCACCAGGAAAATGTTTGCATTTTACTCTGGAGTTTTCCTCTGAAGCCTAAAAAGTTGAGATTTTCATATGTAGTTTTTAGACACCTGACAACCTCCCCAGGAAACAAACCCCGAGATGGAGGGATTATGCTTTTTTTTTCTTGTGCTTTTAATATAAGCATTTCCTATGATTATGGTCTTGAGTGAGAACATAGCTTTACACATAGTGCCCAGCTACCTGGAAAAAATTCAAAAGAGCCACACTCCCTGAATCCAAACTTGGAAAGGTTAAAACCACTTTTGTTGGTGGGGTATTTTTGATGTCAGGGGAGGAGGATGGTAAGGGAGATGGTATTTCATAACGTTTCCTCTGTGAAATGCTTTTGTCTTGTAGATGAGAATCTGATTCTGTAACTGGTAATTTCTTTTAGTATGCAAAGGTGGGATTTTAAATGTTTCCACTTTGCATAGTTATTTAATTATTAGACTTACACATTTTGAGTCCCCATTCATCAAGAGAAGAAAATCCACCATAGGTCTTCATTCAGCCGACTGAATCCATTTTGGTCATAAGCTCTTACGAAGATTTGGGCCTTGAAAGCCTCGCTGTCTGCTTAGAAATGGCTGTGTGTCCCTACAGAGTCATTCTACTCTACTCCTTCCTCTACTTCCTTCAGGACTGCCACCTCCTCCCTCCTCCACTGCCATCCTGTTGGGTAATAAGCATAGCAGCTAACCTATGTTGACACTTAACCATGTGCTGGGTATTGTGCTTATTTAGCATCTTACATGTATGAGGTAAATATTTTTATGTATCCCCATCTTGATGATGAGGAAATTGAGACACAGAAAGGCTCAGCAATTTATGTAATCTTACACAGTGAATAAGTGGCAGAGTTGGGATTTCGAGTGTTGGTGGTATAGTTCTAGAGTCCCTGCTTTTATCCACTATACTAAGCTGCATCTCTTTACCTTGAACGTGGTTCTTTTTGAATGCCATGCTACCATTGCCGGTGTTGGTAAATCTCCTTCAGCTGGCCTCCTATGTCTTTTTCAGGGGTGGATTTTATTTTGTGTCTCTACTACCTAGTTTAATGTCTGGCACACAGTAGGCAATCACTGTATATTTGAGTGATTGAATAAATATTATCTTCCAATCCAAGGAGCCAGCCTCATATCTTTATTTAAGTAACTGACAAAAATACTGAACAGGAAATAGCTGAAGACTGATCTTCATGGAAATTGCCCAGTCTCATTTAAAATATAGTTCTAGCCTACTAAAAATTAATTGATTGTTTGGCTTAGTTCTGGGTATCTTTCTCTCTTTCTTTTTTTTTTTTTGCAGCTGGCTGGCACAGGGATCTGAACCCATGACTTTGATGTTATAAGGCTTATAAGGCTCTAACCAACTGAACTAACTGGCCAGCACCAAACTTTTAACCTTTTTTTTGTTAGCTGGCCAGTACAGGGATCGAACCCTGCCCTTGGTTGGGTATCTTTCTGTATCTTTCTATATTCTCTCCTTATGTAGTCTCTACTATTCTCTGATTATATTAATGATTTCTACCTTTATACTTCTAGCCAATAACTTTTTTTTTCCCCTGGAGGCTTGCTGTGACCAGCCAGTACCTCTTGTCTGATCTCCCAATACATCCAGTGTCTACCTGACATTACCACTGTTTCTCCTGTACAAACTAAGGATATACAGAACAGAACTCTTGATTTCTCGCTGTACCCTCCTGTAACCAAACCTCCTTATCTCAATAAGTGAAACCACCAGTCTACCTTCTTATCAAGCTAGGAATGTTTGTGTCATCCTTGATTTCTTCCTTTCCTGTATTTCCCACATCAAATCCATTTTTTAAACCTGTCAGTTCTATCTCTAGAATATATCTCATGCCAGGCTGTGTTTTCCTTTTCTTTGTGTCCATATGGAGACTAGTTCAAGCTACCAACCCTTATCTCCCACAAAGACTGTAGCAATGTCTAATGAGTCTCTCTCACTAATGAGGGAACCCTCTAGCCTGTTCCCAATCCCTTTTGACAGACACCAGTCTTTGGCTGTTCAGGTCTCCTTTTTACCTGTAGGAAATTTAACAGAACATGGGCATCTTGGGAGAATGCTTTTATATCTTCCTTGTCATGGACCGGTTCTTTCATGTGATGCAGAATTTAAGTCTTAGAAGCTGGGCAGCTTCTTGTTATCCCCAGGTTGACCAATGAACATTTTGACAAGTTAAAAACTTGATGCTGCCTCTCACGCCCACCCTCCAACAATTGACTGTATCTATAAGCCCACCCATTCACTTCCCGTGGGTTCCTTTATATTTTCACTTGGAAGAAGAGATGAAAATATTCCTAAGCCTCTTAAATTCTTTAGTTTTTTTAGGTACTCTTTTTCTTTACTGATGATTTATATATATATATATATATATATATATATATAATATCTTTTTTTTTTTTTTTTTCCTTTTCCTTTTCTTTTTCCCCTGAGGGTTTTCTGATTGTATCAATTTGTTCCTAAGTGAGTCATCAGAACTGGGTTGTGGTCATTGGTTTGGTTGGTCTTGGCCAGTCCTTCATCTCCTCTGGAACATGTGTTCCAAGAAGACAGCACATCCACTAATTAGCTTTGTCAGCATATGGCATCCTTCTCAGAGCGCTGTTAACTTTACTGCTTCCTCCTGAAACCGGAGTCCATCACCCGTGGGCTCCTGTGTCTTCCTTATTGAAAGACTGAGTGGGGGTTGCTGGTGCTGCTTCAGAGAGTTGGCATTTATTCTTTCTGAGAGAAAAAAGTAAATACCTCATTCCTCTGGTAGAACTCTAGTGACAGCATGGAGTTCATTCTTCTTTTTTGTAGTTTTCTCCTCTTGGTATTTTTCTTCTCAGTAACTTGTCCTGTTGGCTTCAGTGCCCCAATCACCAAATGAAATCCTTTTCTCCCTGTCATCTTTCCTGGATTTAGTCCTTCCTGGGATTCCTTTGCCGTCATAGTCTGTAGCATGGACAGCTGTTTCTCAGGGCTGTCACCTCTTCCTCTGGCAGTGCCATTCTGTTTATAGCACACAAGATTGGGTGCTGCTTCAAGCAGGAGGCTGGAGGAAGGTACCACAGACACTCTAGAGCAAAGGTGCTCAAATCCTGTGTGGTAAAGCACCAGGTGCACCCCTACCCCCAATCCGACTGACACTAGGAAAATAAAAGACACAAAATGTAAGCCCTAATTTTTTACTTTAAACAGACAAAACAAACTACCAAATTGCTACACATTTTAAAAAGCCTTCTCTCACATGTAGACCAGTAACATACAGTCAGTCCATGGACTGGCCGACTTTGAGTAGTGCTGGTCTGTGGATCATATGTATTTCGAGTGCTGCTTGCTAGAGATCACTCAAAGCATTTGTGTTGTTTCTGAGCTCCCGTGCTTCCTAGGTCTGGTGATGAACTGTAGTCTCAGATGCTTCAGCTGTCCATTATCACTAAAACTCCTGGTGCTGGGAGTAGATACTACTCTTGAGAGCTGCTGCTTTTAAATACCCGCTAAGCTACACTCTTTGGTGCTTCCTATCCATGAGCCCTTCTTTTCCCTTATAGCTCCCAACAGCATCTCCTGCCTTTCTGTCCCCCTGGAGAACATGCAGTGTTTTGCTGACTTATTCCGATCTTTTTCTAGTTTTCCTTCTTTTTGAAAGCAGGGATTCAAAAACTGCTTCAAATTTTGCTATGATTTTAATTGTCATTATGCTATATAATTGAGTAAAGACTAGAATTTTTGTATTGTTGGAAGTCTGTTTCATGGGGATTGCTTATGGGAAGATGAAATGATGAAAGGTAATGTAGAAATTGCAGCATGGTAGTATGCGGAATTTGGAGAAATTTGAGAGGGAATTTCATCTCAGTTTTAAGCAGAAGAGGGATTGCAGGCCATTTTTGAAATGTTGCATCATCTTTTTCTCTAAAATTGTTTTTGAGTATGTGTAGTTATTAAACATTCATGTTATAAAGAATAATTATGATTTGTAATAAGGGATACGCTAATACTGTTGACTTAATCATCACATATTGTACACAAATAATGATAGTCAACACTGTACCTCCCAAAATATGTAAAATCAAATATGTTTCAATAAAAAGTAAGTAAAAAATAAAAAAATAAGAAACAAAGAATAATTATGATTTGTAATAAGGGATATGCTAATACTGTTGACTTAATCATCACATATTGTACACAAATAATGATAGTCAACACTGTACCTCTCAAAATATGTAAAATCAAATATGTTTCAATAAAAAGTAAGTAAAAAATAAAAAAATAAGAATTTGTGTTAGTAAGTGAAAGAAGATAACTAACATTTATTGAGGGCCTGAAATGTGCTATGTGCTATATATTCTTTTCGTTAAGAATCTTTACTTAATAGTTTATATAGAACTACCATGCAGTATCAGAGGGCTTATTTTATAAGATGTAGTTAATTTAACTAGGTCATAAACCCTCCTTGGCAGATGATGATGTTATTGGTCGTAACCATCAGAGACACTCTTAAGTTGGAGGGTTATATAACGTGGGCACTTAGGGAGAGGTGTGAACTCTTCAATTCCTTTGGGGTGCTATTTAATT